AGGATGATTCGAAGGGAGAGCTATTTTGAGGATTTCAAGTGATCTTTCGTAGGATGAAAGTGCTTTCGAGTACTCGCTCATGTCATCATACACTGAAGCGATGTTGTTGTAGGAAGCAGCCAAGCCACGATGATTTGGAGGGAGAGCTGTTTTTCGAATTTCAAGTGATCTTTCGTAGGATGAAAGTGCTTTCGAGTACTCGCCCATGTGAGAATACACCCCTCCGATGTTGTTGTAGGAAGTAGCCAAGGAGGAGTGGTTGGGAGGGAGAGCTATTTTTTTGATTTCAAGTGATCTTTCATACGATGAAAGTGCTTTTAAGTAGTCACCTCGTTGATTTTCGATAGCTCCAAGGTTGTTCAATACATTTGCTCGCATAGTGTGAGTCAGCGGCGTGACAAGAAGGTGATTACAAAGTTCTTCAGCTGTGGTGTAGTTATGGAGCTTGAACATCAATTGAACCATACGATCCCAGGTAGTGCCTTGGATTTCCTGACGTATATAATGTGTGAGGGCGGATAGTTGTGGATCATTGTCATTGGTTAGACTGACGTGCACTTCCCATACGTTTGTATTGTTGAGTGCCTGCTTAATTTCTTTCACACGAAAAACCGTGTGCATAGAAAAGAGAATTTCTTTTTCGTCGTGAAACGGGCCCATCTCTTTGACGGTGGCAAAAGGAGTTGATGAAAATGACCGTTCAATAGTCATTATGAATAGAATTCCGACGGAGTTGGGTGCTAATGCGTTAGTTTCGGCGAACATGGCAGCAGTATCGCGACTTTGGCTAGTGGATAAAAAGTTGTTAAACGATAGAAGACCGTCCTTTGTTTTTTTGAGCCTCTCGAAATCGGCTTTGGATAATCCTTGTCCTCGGTAAACAACAAAGGGTTCACTGTCTTTTTTTGTAAACTGTTCTTTGTGTAATTGTTCGAGCTGGTAGTGAAGATCGCGAATGAAGAAGCTCATTTTTTTCATTGTTTGAATATCCAGTGTTCTGAGTGACCAATTGAGAGTCTGGTAGATGAAAGGCACATGAATATACCACGAAATGGGCTTCTCGGGACTATATTCCTTCTCGAAGTCTTTGATGGTGTTCAATGTTATCTTATTGTCGTTATATTTATTACGCCAAAATTGAATAAAATCTTCGATGTCTTCTTTACTGTGATTGATTTCAAGCACAATTTCTTTAAATAATTGTGTGTACATGAATGATGGTTCCAGCTGATCGAGGCTTATTTTTGAACTATCTTGATTAACGCTGACGAAACTCATTGCGATATCATTCTGGTAGCTTTGTTGGATGGCATCATGCAGTGCTTTACAGAGACGCGGAGCATCTATGTAAATGCCTTTAATTTTGCTCAAATTCTTATTCCAATCGTTCATTAGGGCTTCTCTGCTGCAGAAGATGTAAACACTCTCAAGCCGAGAAATATCATGGATGATAGATATCATATCTTGATGCTTAGGGTTCGATAGAATAAGGAATGCCTTTTGATCATTGATGTCAGTGAGAAAATCTACACCTTCATCTGGTTGATTGAAAAAATACACCTCATCGGTCACGTTTTGCAGCTGCGTAAG